CCCCAAAACCCCAAAACCCCAAAACCCCATTAAATAAAATCAATTTGAGGATCTGAGTTATGAAATTAAGATAGATATCTAATTATTAATTTTTCATAGTGGAGTTTATAAGTTTTTCGAATTATATTCTTTCTTTGGTTTTTTAGGCTTAGGTGGCTTACTAGTAGAGTTTTAAATGCTATTAATTACAGTAAAAGCTTCCATAGATGTTTTAAGTGATGAAGTATCTAGTGATATAGGTGGCTTAATTTAACTTTCATTATTTTATGAAGAGTTGTTTAATGACTTTTTTATAGGAGTATTTTCTTTTGATTAATTCAGACTCTTATAAGTTTTCTTAGTTTTAAGTTTTTGATAGTCTGAAAATTTTTACTAGTTTGATGAGTCTTTCTAACTAAGAGCTTTCTCAGATTAGCTTTGTATTAAGGAATTTTCAGGTTTCTCAGATATTTAAATAGTTATCTTGGCATTTGAGTCGTTTGCAAATCTAACCTTGGATCTTTTGCTATCTTAATAGTTAAGTTCTTCAGTTTCAAGTAAAAATGTTTTCGGTTCATCTATTATCTGAGATTAAGCTAAATTACTAATCATTAAGCTTGTATTATTTTCTTAAATCTTCATGTCTGAGGTGAAATTGATTTTATTAAGTTAGGCTATTTACACTGACGTTATTGGATTTAACTTTATAATTGAACTCTGATTTTAAGATCCGAAATCAAAAGAGTTGTTCGAAGCAAGTTAACTTTCTCCATTCCTTAAATTTGATGGAATTATAGAAGTAGACAAATTTTTATATTTCTGTTTACTTAAATGTCTTGGCCTACTGCTAAATACTGGTCCCTATATGATCTCATGATTAATATTGCTCTTATAAACAACTCCAGCTTTGAGATTAAATTTATCCTTTGGAGGACTGAGGCTTGATGAAAAGATTCTAGTATATCCCTATGACTATTACATCTGCTAACTAGTTGCATATTTATTGAATAACTCATTATCATTTTCAGAAAGTTTAGGTTTATTATTGCTCGACAAAAGTAAGTTTTAAGCTCTTCTTGGTTTTTCAAAAGCTGCCATACTCTAATGGGACTAAGAGCTTTATTGGGAATTATTAAGTGGAGGAAGTCCAAAATTTGGTTAGTTCTTCTTGCTAAGTTTGATGTTTTCATAAAGCTTTTTAGGTTCAGTTTGAATCTGTGACTTAATATTGAAGGAAGCCTTCACAAGTGTGACTGAATTATTAGGCTCACTTGAAGATAATTTTTCAGGATTAAATTTGTTTGTCATAACTAGATTTCCATTTATATCAAATGTGTAACGATCATTACTTATCTTAGATTGAAGATTCTTAAATTTGCCTTAATTTAGAGTTTCATTGTCTACCATCGCTTTCTCGAATTTTTCCTTTACTAATTTTCTTTTGATCAGACTTTTTCTGGCGTCTTCAATTATCTTATCTTCAACTTCAATTTTAAGCAAACTTTGCTATTTAGTAAATTATCTCATTAGCTGGTTGGAACTTGGAGTTTGACTAAATATTGACCTAGGCTTCAATGAAGGTCTTTTAGGTGAGTCTTATGCAGCTATTGCATCTGAAATGATCTGTCTTATTCTTTAGTTGATCTTCTATTTTACCTTGACAGTGCTTGTTCTTATATAAGAGTCTCCCTTTTAAAATTGTCAATTATTAACAGCCTTGGATATATGTGCGTCTACTTCTGGTTATATTGGTTCATTGATGTCATCATCTACATTCAAGGCTTCTTACAAATTATGATCTTTTCTTATATTCTAAATTTTTATATAGTCAATTTATACTGGTAAAAGTTACCTAAAATATGAATTGCAAGCCCTGATTTAAAGTCCAATCAATTATAAAGCTTGAAACGTTTTCCCTCACATAGTGTTAAATCTATGCCTAGACCACAACACTCTCTATTACTTGATCAATTATTGGATTGACAATTAATAATCCCTAATCCTTCTCAATCAACTTATCAAGATAGGCTATTTCCTGTTTCGTTGAGAGAGCTCTATGTCCACTTATTAATTTCTAATCATTAACGTTTGATGCTAGCCTGTTAAAGGTTTGAGAGTTAACTTTATTTGAAGCAAATTGAACTCGCTTTTATAAAATGTTTCCGTTGTTTTTATCCATTGTTTATAATTATAATTCATCTCAAAAGGTAACCTAGATTTTATTTTTACTGTTTTTACATCAAAATATTATTGCTTGTGGGGGGTTTTGGGGTTTTGGGGTTTTGGGG